ACCGAAAATATTCAAATCGGTTGAATGGTCTAGGAGATATTAAAATGTAAACATATGAAAACGCATTGGCCTCCCCCTCCCTTATTATGACAGATATGAGAAATATCGCAAAACAAAAGCGATGCGGTATTATCCAAGCTATTAAATGATGTTGTCAAAGTTATAGCTCATCGTATAACTTTCTGAGATAGCGGGAACTTTATGTTTCTCAATGGCAGTTACGCCCCCTAGCGGTCGAATTACGAACTTCAAACTAATTTCCAGCTATTTCTCTTGGTCACTTTGCTTATAAGGATTTTTTTCCCAAACCTCTAGGCCTTACCGTTCTAGAGATATAGCCGCTGCGTACGCTTGACGGGACACCCTGTACAAATAGGGTTAAAACGTGCCCTATTATGAGTTAAACATATTCCCCAAATTTCATTTTCCTAGCGTTTATGATTTTTGAGAAAAAAAAATTAAACCTAAATTTTCCGCCATCTTTGAAGGGGTGTAGCTCTTTAGGGGAGCCGAAGTCGCCCATGGTTCATATATCAAAGTACCCTTAAAATTCACTAAAGAATCACCTCTTGAAGTTTGTTGCAGTCATTCAGATACATCCTGTATAATCGATGTAATATTTACATCGAGACTTTGATGTAGGACTATTTAGATAGCAAATAAGGTCTTAAGGTTAATCTTAATTTAGATAAACATACCGTAGTACAATCCCATCCATCATTTCCATTACATACACATGTATTACAATCTTGAGTCGATTTACTTCCAGCGGCATAATCAACATTTTCATATCGACATGGACATTCTTTTGCGGTAATGCACTTTTGGTTTGATAAGAACAAATTTAGCGGACATCTACAGCCTTCAATACAAGTTTTATCATCTTTATCGTTTTCAACAACTTCACCGCACGCTTTTTGTCGACGCCCACATTCGACGTAAACTTGGTTCGGAATTTTGCACTTTTTTTCTAAAAAACGATTTTTTTTTAAATTAAATTTAAAAAATGGCAATTAGTATTTACCACAAAAGTTTTTCTCCCTCCATGATATTGCTTCTCCGGTTCTTGCCTCACAATGTTTGATGAAACTATCGAATAACTCACACATGCACATCTCGACTTTAGGTTTTTTGCAATTGCAAAATACTGCTTGGCATTCTGATAAAAATGAATCGACGTTTAATGCTTTTAAACATTTGTTGTATTTTTTGTTTCTTAATATGGTGCGGCAGTATTGTAATGATTTTGACCTATCTTGCACGGTTAAACATTTTCCTGATTCTTCATCAACGCATTTATCAGTTAATTTCCATTGTTCTCGGAGAGATGGGGTGCTTTCTAAACAATCTTTAGAGCAAATTCCTGATAAATCGTATTGTTTAGCATTATCTAATTGGATTACAACTGATTCCTAAAGTAATTTATATTAAAAATTCTTTTAATAAAATTGATTCGTTTAATACCTGTCCGTTCCATTTTACGGTTAATCCCAAATTTTTGAATTTCGCAACTGCATATACCCCAGGTTTTGACACATCTATTTTACCTACACTAACTGGCAATTTATGTATTTTATCTGGTGTTGCAAAAACGAATTGATTCTTTCCTGAAACCGAAATAACTTTGTCGATTTAATCTTTTAAATAATTTTTAAGGAGGAAGTACCTGTAACTTTTAGCTCGTATTGTTTCGCACCCACAACAATTTCAACCTTAGAATTAGCGGAATTAATAGAAATTTGATCGCCATCGTCGCTTTCATAACTTAATAAAGTGTATAAACAATCGGATTTAAAGCTATACAACAAAATAAATGATTATTTAGTAAGATAAATTAATTAATAAATTTAACCTGTAGAATTCGCCTTGAACCGTCTTAATGTTATAATCTTTAAGATTTTTCGAAACAACACAATTTGCATATTCCTAACAAAAAAAATTATTAAATCAAATCAAATTTGATTGTAACAAATCACTTACATCATTTTCGGGGATTTCACCTAAAAATTAAACGAAAAAATTAAAATGTTTCAAAGCTGTTTAATTAAATACGTACATTTGTGTGAGTGTGCTAATTGATGTTTGAGCACAAACACTATTAGCAATATGAGATGCGGCTTCATAACTGTTCGAATCATGACTACTTGCGACCACGTTTAAGCTCTTCTTTATATAATTTCAGTCATATCTCGGTGTATTAATATATTAATTATATTCACAGAAAGAGAGGTCGTCGATTTTCAAAGAAATCGAAATGTTTGGTAAATACTAAGAAGGTTATCGCGTAAAAATAAATTTCTGGTTATTATTTAATTAATATTTTATTAATAAAATAATGATTCGTTGTTATATAAATAAGTTTAGATCAGTTAAGTTTTCATATTTACTATTATATTTAAGTAACCTTGACCTTAATTACTTTTGATATCAAATATTATAATAGTTTTGCAACATCTAGTAATTAAAGATAATCATTTTATCGTTATCTTTTAATATTATTATTTATATTATGCAACATTTATGATCCTTACAAAAATCACTCAATCCAATGTAAATTAACACCCTGTGTAATTAGATATCACGGGGAATCAATTGATAGGTGAGTATGTACCAAAAAAAACTCTTTATGAAATTCACCAGATCCTCTTAGCATCTGAAATTTGTAACCAGTTTTAACTTAAAATCAATCTAACTTATTTACTATATTGTAAATTTATTTTTTGTAATTCGCGACGGTAATGAAAGCTATTACAGTACTCAAACGGGTGCTGTAATGACACTCTTTACAGCATCCGATGCTGTAATGAGATTTTAGTAACATTTTATGGAATCAGTTCAAGTTGGTGACATTGGGTCATTAATTTTTCTAGTTGTCAATGTGACAATTTTTGTCTATAGATATTTAAACTCGTTCTTCACATCGAATACAAGATCCACAATGATGAGGACGTTGAACACTGAGCATTTTCTCTTATTTTGCGAGGTGTACTGAAACATTTTTTTCAGGTGAATACATTTTGTGTTTTGACAATTTCTAATTGTCAATTCAAATTTCTATTTTCAAGTGTTACCAACTGCTACATACCTATTTCCCTACATTATTAAAATTTATTTTATTTTTGTAAAAACAAATATATAAAAACGCGAATTACAAAAAATAGAATAAAAAACACGTTTCGTAAGACTTAAAGCACTCACTCGTTTTTCAACTTGAATTCGTGCATTTCAAGCATGTTTTACGAAACTAGTTTTTTAATATACTATGTTGATTCTCAATAACATAATACAGTCATTTTTAATCAAGATAACTTTTAACATTTTTTTTTAATTTAATTTAAAACGACCACATTAAATTGGTTTACCTCAATTTTGAAATTTCCTGGACGTATTTTATCAACATGGTAATTATCTACGAATTCAGGAACACCATTTCCGTTTGGTTCCGGTATCACGGTCATTTCTGGATTATCATCGAATTTACCGCATAAACCGAGGTATTTCTAAAATGAATTATTATATCAAACTAATTTCAATATAAAATTAATTTTAAGCGTCATAAAGAATGAGTAATAATAGGTTATTATTTAAATTAAAACAAAAAATTAATGTTCGTAAATTACTTTATTTATGATTAATATTAAATCAATCTTCATTGAAATGATTAACATCTAAATATCTTTGCATAATGCTATCACCCTTTTTAGTGTGAACTTTTAAACGTATCTTTGTCGAATCACAATTTTCCTCATTATCCACGACAATATCAACATTTTGTGTACAAACATTATCTTCGTTACATTCTTCTTCCTTCACACATTGATCATATTTTTCATCCTTAAATATCATATTTGCAGGACAACTTACAGAACAAGTTTCGCTACATAATTTGTTATTGCATACAATTTTTTTTGAATCTTTACATGTTCGGTTTGGGCAAGAAGTTTGACATGGATAATATTGTTTTTTAGGTTCGCAAGTTTGGGCTGAAATAAAAATAGTTATAAAAAAAATAATTATTTTAGGAGTACTTACGGCAAATATCATCTGTACGCCAATTTACTGGTAAATTAATATCATTACATTCTTGGGCGTAAGCCGACAAAGTTTGGCAATAATAATTAAATCGTTCATTTTCGGGCAATAAACTTTGTAGATTTGCATCGATTAAACATCTTTGGTAATATTCTTTTATTGGTTTTAATGTACCACAAGTTTTGAAGATGTTGTTGTAGAGAATATCACAAGTTTTTTTGGGTGGTATTATATCAATATTGGTATGTTCATTACATTCCAAGCATGATTTATCAATTCTGTAGTAATTAACAAGATGAGTAATTCCAAATTTGTTGTCAGGGGTTAATAAATCATTCTTTGGATTGTCATCGTATTTACCACACAATCCACCATGATTCTGAAATTAAATCTTTGATAAAAAATAATTTTTTTATTGCAAATTAAGCACCTTTTGCGACTTCCAGAGTTGTGAAACATGAATGTGCACCCAACCGGCCTTATTCCAAACAACTTTAGCACCTAAACCAGCAACATTTACAATAATTGATAAATCCATATCTTTTATTGATAAACGATTCAATTCTCCTTCAATTACAAATTTAGTTCCCTTTGAGAATGTGATCTTTTCAATTTTGTTGCTTATATCTTTATACAATACAGAAACTTGGCTAATACAACCACCAACATTACATTTTTCCGTCTAAAATGAAAGAATTTGATTTGATTTAAATAATTTGATTTGGTTTAATTTTGATTTTACCTTTAATGTAACTCTAAACAATCCGTTTATGTCGTTATCTTCCAACAAGACGTACTCACAAACTCCTGAGAATGAGTAAAATAATTCATCGAATGTTCGAATGTGGGTGTTACTCCAAACGGTACATTTTTCCCAATGATTGGTGTTTTCAGTACATTTCCAATTTCCACCTTTACAAGTGCTATAAAAAAAAATAGATTAAAAATTAGTTGCGATATTAATAAACTTAAGTGTTCGTAATTTAACTATGATTTATTAACCCATTTACATCATTCAGAAGAAAGGGATTGAACAAGAAGTTTCTAGACAACAGAAAATTTAGGTTACTCTTACCATTTTTCGTTTTTGTGAATTTTTACATCATTTTCTGAGTAACTTATACCGTTGTAATTACATGGACAACGTTCTGGTTTAACGCATTTCTTATTTTCTGTATCATAAACATAACCATTCATACATTGACAACCGCCTTTGCATTTTCCATACAATGGTTGTGGGTTAAGATGCTTGTTCTAAAATTAAAAGTTTTAATAAACACAATTTAATTAATTAATTATAACTACATACTTTACAAGATAATCGATTGGTAGGCGTACAACCACTATATTCCTCGAAACGATTAGCGTCACATTTTTTCTGCAAATCTGGTAATGATGGTGTTGTTGAATCATCATTAGGAACAAGGGTTGTAGTCCATTTACCATTTTGACAAGTCCTAAAAAATACATAAATAAGTTATTCTTAATTATCATATAATAAATACACGAACCATTTCGATTTTTTGTAGATAAAGGTGAAATCTGGAGGATATGGTTTGCCCTCAAAAATACATTTGCATTGTGTGATTGGAACGCATTTTCTAAATTCGTCTAAAGTTTCTCCTACGGGACAATAACAACCTTCAGTACAGATTTTCGGGCATATTCTCGTGGTAGCGATGGCGTCGCAGCTACGGAAACATTGATTTCCGCAGTTTTGATAAGTTTGTCCAGCTGGGCACTTAATTTCGCAACCAGGCACCTTCGCACGCCAATCAACAATGAATCCCTTTGCAGCGCATTTTTCGCTTTGAGCGGCGTAAAATTCGCAAACACAATCTTTTTGCTGGAATTTATAAAAATTAACTATTTGTCTAAAATTTTTAAGGGGTTTAAACTTACGGTATCAGGACATAAGCAAGCATCATAAAGACAATTTTCGTACTCCTCAGCTGAATCTATTGCAGCTTCAAATAATCCACTTTTAAGTAAAGCACAAGCTTGCTCAGCTTTCGCTCTTTTAGCTGGATTGTTTAAGCATGGATGAGGTGTTGGTTCTATATGTTCGTTTTCACAACTTCCAGGTACTTTCCAAGAATTTCCAAATTGTGTTGCGGTCGTGGCAACTTTTTTGTTAGGCATTAAGAAATCGTCTTCTTTATTTTTGTTGTATGTTCCCAATAATCCCTTTTACAAATATAAATTAGATTAATGATTCACATTTATTAAATTGTATCTTACCTTCACTTGTCCTTTCATTGTAGTTGGAATTTTAACTGTTACAGTAGAGGCACCGTTCCATTGGACAATTACAGAGTTACTTAATGTAACTAAAAAATAAATTTTAGTATTATACCCCTTTTTTATATATCAATAAAATTAAATACCTTGAGTTAATAAATTGCTTGGTTTGGAGATATAAAATCCTGATTGGGCCTTGAATGGAAACCAGCTTAAATTGTCATCGTTAACTTTAACTCGATGTTTTTGTCCAAGCTCAATCGTTTCCCCATTTTCTTTAATAATCACTTTGGCGCAATACGATGGTAAAGTTGATTTGAAATCTTTCTGTAAGTTATAATAATATTCATGAAATAAAGTGTGATTTGAAAAAAGTATTAATTTCTTACCACAAAAGCGCCCTTAGAAACAACATAATGATCACATATAACATCAAATCCATCACCTCGAACTAAATAATATGCGCATTTTCCCATAAAATCGAACGGTTTTCCATCAAACGTTTTACAATGAGGATCTCCGGAACATTTTCCATCAACGTAACACGTTTTCTAAAAAAATTAATCATTTCGTATAAGTCGAATCGTTATTTTAATTATTCCTTTCCTACCTCTGTACAAGCCCATTTTCCCTTTTGACAAGTACACTTGTTACAATCTTCATTTATAGATTCTCCTTGTGTGTACTCTTTATCTTTATAAATACAGGACAAAGACGATTTGATCGCTTAAAATTTCAAAAACAATTAAACAATAAACTTACAGAAAAATTTAAGAATACTTACGACAAATATTCTTAGTACGCCAATTTATAGACAGATTTAAATCAATACATTCTTGCTCATAAGCTGCTAACGATTGGCAAAAACGATTTTGNACCGTAACTGGTGAGCGTTACAGACACATGTTAAACAATTTTTTTTTGCCGCAAATCGCTGAATTGGGTCTCGAGCATTGTTGGTTCCAACAGGATGGAGCAACCGCTCACACAGCTCGGGCAACGATGGAGATTTTGAAACGCCAATTTCCGGGCCGTATGATCTCCCGTTTTGGCGATTTGAACTGGCCGGCCAGATCGCCAGATCTGACGGCGCCAGACTTCTTTCTTTGGGGCTTTTTGAAATCACGCGTTTACCGCAACAAACCACAAACCCTGCAACTCTTGAAAGCTAACATTAAAGAAGAAATCGCCAATTTGGAGCTTGATATTTTGCGAGCAACAATTTTAAATGCCGTAAAACGAGCACAAATGTGTATTAACTCAGGAGGGGGTCATTTGACCGATATAATTTTTTCAAGTTAATATAACAAATTTTACACTTTTAAATAAACGTTCCGTGAAAACGGAGTCTTATTTTTTTCATTTCTAAGAAAATGGCAGCCAATTCACATTATGACATTATTTTTGCCCCACCTTGTATAGGAGGTTCATACCGAGACCACAACTTCGTTATTTTAAATGGAATGCTATAGTTTTTATTTGACCTTTTAATTATATGCGAAAAAATGAGTTGACTTTGATTTATTGGTACTTAGCGTTTTTCATTTTTGAGTTATTTTGATATTAAATTTTTCTTGGCAATTTTCACCATGCCCTTTAAAACTCCACATCTCAGCAAACGTTCATTCAAAAAAGCTCTAAATTGGGCCGATTACTATTCAAATACTGTCAAATAGATTGTCATTTGCTGTATCACAGTATCTTATACAGAATTCAAAAAGTGAATTATCTTTTTTTCGCATTCAATGGCAAGAAAGTCGAATGGTACGCCAAATATTATATTAGCTCACCAGAAAGGGAGTTTGCCATTTATTAGGCCATGATATTTCGACAGTTTTTCGTTTAATTTATTTTTACAATTAACTTTGGTTGATAATCTTTTAGTTTACTATCTTTGATTGAGAAGAACAAATAAATGAAACAATGAAAACAAAAATTAGGTTTGGATCAAAAAATTAATCCTCTCTGTGGTAGGTTAAAAAAAATACGGGGCGTTCCATTTAAAATTCTCAGCTTTCTTGACATTGAATATGGAGAAACGATAATTCAATTTTTGACCATCTATTTGATATCATCTGAAGAGTAATCATACCAAGTTAGAGCTTTCCATATAAGCTAAATTTCATAAACGTTGATGTAATGGAACAGAAATAAAACAGGTGTTGCTGACTTTTTGGTGGACACTATATCAATAATATTAAGTACCTTGAGTTAATAAATTGCTTGGTTTTGAGATATAAAATCCTGATTGGGAATTGAAGGGTAACCAGCTTAAATTGTCATTATTGACTTTAACTCGATGTTTTTGTCCAAGCTCAATCGTTTCCCCATTTTCTTTAATAATCACTTTGGCGCAATACGATGGTAAAGTTGATTTGAAATCTTTCTGTAAGTTATAATATTCATGAAATAAAATGTGATTTGAACAAAGTATTAATTTCTTACCACAAAAGCGCCCTTAGAAACAACATAATGATCACATATAACATCAAATCCATCACCTCGAACTAAATAATATGCGCATTTTCCCATAAAATCGAACGGTTTTCCATCAAACGTTTTACAATGAGGATCTCCGGAACATTTTCCATCAACGTAACACGTTTTCTAAAAAAATTAATCATTTCGTATAAGTCGAATCGTTATTTTAATTATTCCTTTCCTACCTCTGTACAAGCCCATTTTCCCTTTTGACAAGTACACTTGTTACAATCTTCATTTATAGATTCTCCTTGTGTGTACTCTTTATCTTTATAAATACAGGACAAAGACGATTTGATCGCTTAAAATTTCAAAAACAATTAAACAATAAACTTACAGAAAAATTTAAGAATACTTACGACAAATATTCTTAGTACGCCAATTTATAGACAGATTTAAATCAATACATTCTTGCTCATAAGCTGCTAACGATTGGCAAAAACGATTTTGTTGTTCAGTTTTAGGTAATAAATGTTCTAAGTTAACATCAATTAAACATCTTTTATAATATTCCTTAAACGGTTTTAAACTAGCACAAGTCTTAAAGATGCCATTGAAAAGAATATCGCAAGTATTTTGAGGGGGTATTAAACCAGGATCCTGAAATAAGAATCATTTGGCATAGGATAATAAATTAAATTAGATTTTTTACCTGGTGCTCAGTACATTTAGAGCACGAATTATCAACTCTGTAATAATCAACAAGGTGTGTAACTCCAAAATCGTTGTTAGGGGTTAATAAATCATTCTTTGCATTATCATCGTATTTACCACATAATCCACCATGATTCTAAAAGTAAAATACTTGATAAAAAGTACAATTTTTTTTTCAAATTAAGCACCTTTCGAGATTTCCATTCTTGAGAAACATGAATATGAACCCATCCGCTTTTATCCCAGATTACTTTTACGCCCAGTTTAACCACATTAACTGAAACTGATAAATCAGATTCTGCTATCAAAAAATTAGATAGTTTTCCAATAATTGCATAATTCTCTCCGTTTGTGAAAATGATTTTTTCTTCGACGTTATTTACATCTTTATAGAAAACAGAAACTTGTTTAATGCAAGCACCGGCGTTACATTTTTCGTTCTAAGGAGAAAAAAATTTAAATTATAGCTTAATTTATTACGGTGTTAATTAATTTTACCTTTAATGTAACTCTAAATAATCCGTTTATGTCGTTATCTTCCAATAAAACGTACTCACAAATCCCTGAGAACGAATAAATCAATTCATCAAACGTTCGAATGTGGGTGTTACTCCAAACGCTACATTTTTCCCAATGATCTGTGTTTTCAATACATTCCCAGTTTCCACCTTTACAAGTGCTATAAAAAATGATATTGTCCTCTTAGTTTCGATATTAATAAGTTTAAGTTTTTATAATTTAACGAATGGTGACAGTCCCATTCAGTATGCAGCGAAGATAGGAAAAAAGAGAAGGGCGAGTGGTGGAAAGTGAGGATATTAAAGCGAAGATATTATGCTGCACAGCAGAGAGAAACGTAAAAGGTGGAAGACGAAAAGAGAGGAAGTGGAACAAAAGATGGTGGAGGAGTTTTGAGGATCAATACTAGAGGTGGATCTTGAGACTTCAGGATATATAGGCGAGAAGCAGGAGAAGATGAGGGTGGAAGCAATTAAAGGTAGAAAATTAATCTTACCATTTTTCGTTTTTCTGAATTTTTACAGCATTTTCTAAGTAACTAATACCGTTGTAATTACATGGACAGCTTTCTGGTTTAACACATTTCTTATTTACTGTATCATAAACGTAACCATTCATACATTGACAACCAGATTTACATTTTCCATACAAAGGTTGTTCGTTAATATGCTTGTTCTAAAATTAAAAAAATTTATAAACATAATTTAATAAATTAATTATAATTACATACTTGACAAGTCAAACGATTGGTACGTGTACAACCACTATATTCTTCGAAACGGTTAGCGTCACATTTTTTTTGCAAATCTGGTAATGATGGTGTTGTGTTACCAGGAGGTACAATAGTTGTGTTCCAATTACCATTTTGACAGGTCCTAAAAAATACATAAATAAGTTATTCTTAATTATCATATAAGAAATACACGAACCATTTAGATTTTTTATAGATAAAGGTGAAATCTGGTGGATATGGTTTGCCCTCAAAAATACATTTGCATTGTTTGATTTGAACGCATTTTCCAAATTCGTCTAAAGTTTGTCCTACGGGACAATAACAACCTTCAGTACAGATTCTCGGGCATATTCTCGTGGTAGCGATGGATTCGCAGCTACGGAAACATTGATTTCCGCAGTTTTGATAAGTTTGTCCAGTTGGGCACTTAATTTCGCAACCAGGCACCTTCGCACGCCAATCAACAATGAATCCTTTTGCAGCGCATTTTTCGCTTTGAGCGGCGTAAAATTCGCAAACACAATCTTTTTGCTGGAAATTATAAAAATTATTTATCTAAAATTTAGAAATGTTATAAACTTACTGTATCAGGACATGAACAAGCATCATAAAGACAATTTTCGTATTCCTCTTCTGAATCTATAGCACCATCAAATAATCCACTTTTAAGTAAAGCACAAGCTTGCTCAGCGTTCGCTTTTTTAGCTGGATTGCTTAAACATGGATGAGGTACTGGATCTACATGTTCGTTTTCACAACTTCCAGGTACTTTCCAAGAATTTCCAAATTGTGTTGCAGTCTTGGCAAGTTCTTCATTAGGCATTAAGAAATCATCTTGTTTATTTATGTTGTACGTTCCCAATAATCCCTTTTACAAATATAAATTAGATCAATGAATCACATATTTATTAAAATTTGTATTACCTTAACTTGTCCTTTCATTGTAGTTGGAATTTTAACTGTTATGGCAGCGACGCCGTTCCATTGGACAATTACAGAGTTACTTAATGTAACTAAAAAATAAATTTTAGTATTATACCCCTTTTTTATATATCAATAAAATTAAATACCTTGAGTTAATAAATTGCTTGGTTTGGAGATATAAAATCCTGATTGGGCCTTGAATGGAAACCAGCTTAAATTGTCATCGTTAACTTTAACTCGATGTTTTTGTCCAAGCTCAATCGTTTCCCCATTTTCTTTAATAATCACTTTGGCGCAATACGATGGTAAAGTTGATTTGAAATCTTTCTGTAAGTTATAATAATATTCATGAAATAAAGTGTGATTTGAAAAAAGTGTTAATTTCTTACCACAAAAGTGCCTTTAGAAACAACATAATGATCACATATAACATCAAATCCATCACCTCGAACTAAATAATATGCGCATTTTCCCATAAAATCGAACGGTTTTCCATCGAACGTTTTACAATGAGGATCTCCGGAACATTTTCCATCAACGTAACACGTTTTCTAAAAAATTAATCATTTCATATAAGTTGAATCGATTTTAATTATGCCTTTCCTACCTCTGTACAAGCCCATTTTCCCTTTTGACAAGTACACTTGTTGCAATCTTTATTTATAGATTCCCCTTGTGTGTACTCTTTATCATTATAAATACAGGACAAAGACGATTTGATCGCTTAAAATTTCAAAACAATTAAACAATAAACTTAGAGGAAAATTTAAGAATACTTACGACAAATATCCTTTGTACGCCAATTTATAAACAGATTTAAATCAATACATTCTTGTTCATAAGCTGCTAACGATTGACAAAAATGATTTTGTTGTTGAGTTTTAGGTAATAAATGTTCTAAGTTAACATCAATTAAACATCTTTTATAATATTCCTTAAATGGTTTTAAACTAGCACAGGTCTTAAAGATGCCATTGAAAAGAATGTCGCAAGTATTTTGAGGGGGTATTAAGCCAGGATCCTAAAATAAGAATTATTTGACATAGGATAATTAATTAAATTACATTTTTTACCTGGTGCTCAGTACATTTAGAGCACGAATTATCAACTCTGTAGTAATCAACAAGATGTGTAACTCCAAAATCGTTGTTGGGGGTTAATAAATCATTATTTGGATTATCATCGTATTTACCACATAATCCACCATGATTCTAAAAATAAAATACTTGATAAAAAGTACAATTTTTTTTCAGATTAAGCACCTTTCGAGATTTCCATTCTTGAGAAACATGAATATGAGCCCATCCGCTTTTATCCCAGATTACTTTTACGCCCAATTTAACCACATTAACCGAAACTGATAAATCAGATTCTGTTATCACCAAATTAGATAGTTTTCCAATAATTGCATAGTTTTTTCCGTTTGTGAAAATGATTTTTTCTTCGACGTTATTTACATCTTTATAGAGAACAGAAACTTGTTTAATGCAAGCACCGGCTTTACATTTTTCGTTCTAATGAGAAAAAAATGTAAATTTAATTGATTTTGGTGTTAATTAATTTTACCTTTAATGTAACTCTAAATAATCCGTTTATGTCGTTATCTTCCAATAAAACGTACTCACAAATTCCTGAGAACGAATAAATCAATTCATCAAACGTTCGAATGTGGGTGTTACTCCAAATGCTACATTTTTCCCAACGATCGGTGTTTGGGATACATTCCCAGTTTCCACCTTTACAAGTGCTATAAAGAATGATGTCCTCTTAGTTTCAATCTTAATAAATTTAGGTTTTCATAATTTAATCGTGATTTATTAATAATAATTAAACAGGGGTTAATCATAACTGGGGATCAAAGAAGAGATGGCGTTACCTATGGAAGAGAGTTGGGTAATTGAGGATGTGGTAAAGAGGGAAGTAAACATGGATGGGGGTAAAGTGGAGATAATTACGGTGTATAGGAAAAATGGGTATTAAATTTACGTACCGGGATTTTACATTTCGAGGGGATAATATAGCGAGGGCTCATATTAAGCAGAGTTAGAAAGGCAAGTTAATTATTGAGATAGATATAGTACTGGGGAGACGAATATTTGGACAAAATATGTACGAACGAAAAATAATACTAGAGTTTGATAATGTATAGAGCGGAAATATTGGAGGTGAATGTTGGGGAGACTTCGCAATATATAGCGAGAGAGGAATTGAAACTGGAGAAGGTAAGGGTGAAATTACTCTTACCATTTTTCGTTCTTCTGGATGTTAACAGCATTTTCAAAGTAACTAATACCGTTGTAATTACATGGGCAGCTTTCTGGTTTAACACATTTCTCATTTACTGTATCATAAACATAACCATTCATACATTGACACCCAGCTTTACATTTTCCATAGAGCGGTTGCGCGTTAAAATGCTTGTTCTAAAATAAAAAGATTTAATAAACACAATTAATTAAATTAATTATAATGCATACTTGACAAGTTAATGGATTGGTACGCGTACAACCACAATATTCCTCGAATCGATTAGCGTCACATTTTTTCTGCAAATCTGGTAATGATGGTGTTTTGTCATCAGGAGGTACAATAGTTGTGATCCAATTACCATTTTGACAGGTCCTAAGCAATATATAAATAAAATAGTTACTCTTAATTATCGTATAAGAAATACACGAACCATTTAGAATTTTTGTAGATAAAGGTAAAATCTGCTGGATATGGTTTGCCCTCAAAAATACATTTGCATTGTTTGATTTGAACGCATTTTCCAAATTCATCCAAAGTTTGTCCTGCGGGACAATAACACCCTTCTATACAGATTGTCGGACATACTCTCGTGGTGGCGATGGCTTCGCAGCTACGGGAACAATGATTTCCGCAGTTTTGATAAATTTGTCCAGCTGGGCACTTAATTTCGCAACCAGGCACCTTCGCACGCCAATCAACAATGAATCCCTTTGCAGCGCATTTTTCGCTTTGAGCGGCGTAAAATTCGCAAACACAATCTTTTTGCTGGAAATTATAAAAATTATTTATCTAAAATTTAGAAATGTTATAAACTTACTGTATCAGGACATGAACAAGCATCATAAAGACAATTTTCATATTCCTCTTCTGAATCTATTGCCCCATCAAATAATCCACTTTTAAGTAAAGCACAAGTTTGCTCAGCTTTCGCTTTTTTATCTGGATTGTTTAAACATGGATGAGGTACTGGTTCTAAATGTTCGTTTTCACAACTTCCAGGTACTTTCCAAGAATTTCCAAATTCTGTTGCGGTGTTGGCAAGTTTTTCATTAGGCATTAAGAAATCATCTTGATTATTTTTGTTGTATGTTCCCAATAATCCCTTTTACAAATATAAATTAGATCAATGAATCACATATTTATTAAAATTTGTATTACCTTAACTTGTCCTTTCATTGTAGTTGGAATTTTAACTGTTATGGCAGCGACGCCGTTCCATTGGACAATTACAGAGTTACTTAATGTAACTAAAAAATAAATTTTAGTATTATACCCCTTTTTTATATATTAATAATATTAAGTACCTTGAGTTAATAAATTACTTGGTTTGGAAATATAAAATGATTGGGAATTGAAGGGGAACCAGCTTAAATTATCGTCATTAACTTTAACCTGGTGTTTTTGACCAAGCTCAATCGTTTCTCCCTTTGCTTTAATAATCACTTTAGCGCAATACGATGGTAAAGTTGATTTGAAATCTTTCTGTAAGTTATAATAATATTATAAAATAAAATATGATTTGAAGAAAGTATTAATTTCTTACCACAAAAATGCCTTTAGAAACAATATAATGATCACAAATAACATCAAATCCTTCACCACGAACCAAATAATAAGCACATTTTCCCATAAAATCGAATGGTTTTCCATCAAACGTTTTACAATGAGGATCTCCAGAGCATTTTCCATCAACGTAACATGTTTTCTAGAAAATTAATCATTTCATATAAGTCAAATCATTATTTTAATTATTCCTTTCTTACCTCTGTACAAGCCCAATTCCCTTGTTGACAAGTACATGTGTTGCAATCTTGAGTTATAGACGCTCCTGGTTGGTATTCTTTTCCTTCAGAAGTACAAGTCAATTTTGGTTTGAGCGCTTAAAATTTCGAAACGATTAAACAATAAACAACTTTAAGGAAAATTTAAGAATACTTACGACAAATATTCTCTGTACGCCAATTTACAATAATATTTAAATCTTTACATTCTTGTGCATAAGCTGATAATGAATGACAAAAATGATCAAATCGTTCACTTTCTGGTAGAGCAAATTGCAGGTTTGTATCGATTAAGCATCTTTTGTAATATTCCTTGAATGGTGTTAAAATATTGCATGTCTTAAAGATTTCGCTGTATAGAATATCACAAGTTTTTTGAGGTGGAATTATGTCAATATTCTAGAAGAAAAATTTAAAATAATTTTTAATTTTATTACATCTTTATATTTTACCGTATGTTCAGTGCATTGAGAACATGTTTTATCAACTGTATAATAATCAACGAGATGTGTCACTCCAGTATTGGCGTTTGGTGTTAATAAATCATTACTTGGATTATCATCAAATTTACCACATAATCCACCGTGGTTCTAAAATATTAAATTGATTAAAACTAAATTATTTTTAGGAAAAAAAAGTACCTTTCGAGATTTCCATTGTTGAGAAACATGAATGTGAACCAACCCGGTTTTATCCCAGATTACTTTTACACCCATATTAACCACATTAACTAAAACCGATTCGTTTGAATCTGTTATTTCTAAATTGGAGAGTTCGCCAATTATTGTGAATTTCTCGTCTTTTGTAAATACGATTTTTTCTTCCTTATTGTTTGTAGCTTTGTAATATATAGAAGCTTGTTTGATACAAGAACCAACATTACATTTTTCCGTCTAAAATGAGAGGAATATTTTTATAATTTAAATTAATTATTTAAATGTTGAATTGAAATGGACCAAACAAAGAGTGGACAAAAATTTACCTTAAGGGTAACTCTGAAATTATCAGAATCTTCTAATAAAGTATACTCGCAAATTCCTTTGAATGAATAAAACAGCTCGTCGAAAGTACGGATGTGAGTATTACCCCACGCGGTACATTTTTCCCAACGATCGTTTTCTTGAGTACATTCCCAAAAACGATCCTTACAAGTACTGCAATAAAGCATATTTGTATTAATATATTATACAGGGTGTCTCCGGTTATACCGGAAGTCGCCACCTACTTTATTTTTTTAAATGGAACACCCTGTATATTTTTACATATTTGGATTTGTCTGTTTTCAAGGTTTATAAATAACTTTACTTTTTGCAATTTGATTCGGTCGTTCTCGAGTTATTCGAATTTTTCTAGAAAAATCTGCTCCAGCAGACATTTGTTCAAAAAATCAGAAAACACTCAATTTTTGGGATATCAATTTAGGATTAAGAACATGCTTAAGCAACATGATGGAGTATGTTTTGGTGCCGAGAACTGCGGTCTAGAACGTTTGATCACTTTACTATGGCACGTTAACTTTTCAAAATTTGGAAGTACCATAACTTCATTTTTTTAAATGGCACCCCCCATATTTTATTTTTTAGTCGTCTTCGGTGTCTCATTCTACATCTTTTATATCCCATATGGCCCATACCTAATATTAATAGTTTGGGAGATAATTAGGGTTTTTTGAAAAATGCACACATATCATATGGATATTTAGCCTAGTGTGCCATGAAAAACAAGCCTTCTCAATGAGTTCTTGTCAAAGACTCACTTGTTTACGTCACTTGATGCATGTGAGCTAATAATTATCTGTTATGTCCCTTAATATTAGTACTGAAACGAGTTAAAATCGATAACAATAACGAAAGTAATATTTACACAAATCAAGAAATTCTTAATTTATTTTTTTTGCATGAAAAGCGCGACAAAGTTCGTAGTATGATTCCCAGATCTTCTTTGGCAGCTCGAATTGAGGTGTTGGGACTGGGCTCGAAATAAGCCAAGGTATTCACCTCTTCCGTTGCATTATCTACTACATTTTTTGGTCAGTTTAACACGTGATTAATTCGTCCAAAATGCAAAAAATTTGCTTCTATTCCTCTAAATTTACCTTTTGTCATCGGAGATAAATGTGGATAATTTTCATTAAACATTCTGCAAGTTCTACTAAGAACTTTGTCGCACTTTTCGTGCACAAAAAATAAATTATGGATTTCTTTATTTGTATAAACATTATTTACGTTATTAATATCCATTTTAACTGGTTTTAGACTCACAAGCATCAAACAACGTAAATTAGACTTTGACGTTTGTCAATAAGTCATTAAACATTTGTTTTCCATGGCACACTAGGTTAATATCGATATATGTGAGCATTTTTCAAAAAACCCTAATTATTTCTTAAACTATTAATGTTAGGTATAGGACATATGGAGTATAAAAGATGTAAAATGAGACGCCGAAAACGACTAAGCAATAAAATTTGGGGGGTGCCATTTAAAAAAATGAAGTTATGGTGCTTCCAAATTTCGAAAAGTAGTAAAGTGACCAAACGATCTAGACAGCCGTTCTTGGCACCAAAACATACTCCATCATGTTATTTAAGCATGTTCTGAATCCTAAATTGATATCTCAAAAATCGAGTGTTCTATGATTTTTTGAACAAATGTCCGCTGGAGCAGATATTTCTAGAAAAATTCGAATAACTCGAGAACGGCCAATCAAATTGCAAAAAGTAAAGTTATTTATAAACCTTAAAAACAGACAAATCTAAATATGTAAAAATATACAGGATGTACCATTTAAAAAAATAAAGTAGGTGGCGACTTCCGGTATAACCGGAAGTGCTAGAAATCTGAAAATATTTTAGACGAAGAGAACGTAATTGATAATACTTAAGTCTGAATTCTCAATTTTTTATTTTGGCCAGAACCACAAAAACGTCTAACGACCGGTCTCGCTGAGACACCCTCTGTATAGTAGTAAATAAGAAATATATTTACCATTTTTCATTTCGATCAGCCCTAACGTCATTTTCTAAGAAACTAACACCATTGTGCTCGCAAGGACAGTCTTCTGGTCTAACACAAACACTATCTTCTTCATCATAAACAAAACCATTCATACATTGACATCCACTTTCGCATTTTCCATACAATGGTTGCTCATTAAGATGTTTGTTCTAAAATTATAAATTATAATATAATCGTATTTTATAAATTATTTTTAATACTTACTCTACAAGTTACTCTGTTGGCACTCATACAACCAGTGTAAGATTCGTATAAATCGGCGTTACAATTTTGTTGTAAATCGTCCCAATTTGGATATTTCTTTTTATCATCATCAGTTGCGTTGTTCACATCCCAAGTGGCGTTAACACAAATCCTGAAAATTTGTGTTAAAAATTGTTATAATTAATTAATTTAATGAACATACCGTTTGTTTTCTTCATGGATGAACGTAAAGTCTTGAGCAAATCTTGCATCGATGTAGACGCAGTTACACTCGTTAAATGGAACACATTTTCCATAACTGTTCAATGAAGTTCCTTCGGGACAATTACATCCTTCTACGCATTTCTTTTGACATTTAGGATTATGGATGATGTCTTCACAACTGCTAGTGCAAGAGTTAGCGCAGATTTGATAAGTTTGCCCAGCTGGGCATTTAATTTCACATCCAGGAACTTTACTTCTCCAGTCGACCAAAACTCCATTAGCTGCACTTTTCGCGGCTTGTTCGGCGTAACATTCGCAAACACAATCTTTTTGCTAAAAAAAATTTTTTTTTAGATATGTTTAAAAATAATTTTTTTATTATTACTTCGTCCGGGCATAAACAAGCATCGTATAAACAATTTTCATATTCCTCAGTAAAATCGATTGATTTATCGAATAGACTCTTTAATAAAGCACAACTTTGCTCGGCTTTAGCTTTCTTGGCGGGATTACGTATACAAGGATGAGGTACTGGTTCTAAAGATTCGTTTTCGCAGCTACCAGGAACTTTCCAAGAATTTCCAAACGTTGTGGGATCTTTGGCAAATTCTCCGTTAGGCATTAAGAAGTCGTCGGTTTGATTTTTGGTGTATGTTCCAAATAATCCCTAAAGATATCATTATAAAATTGAATATTATCTTTTTAATGTACCTACTTTAACTCTTCCTTTCATGGATGTTGGGATTTTAACGGTGAGAGCTGATGCTCCGTTCCATTCGACGATTACAGAATTTTGTAGTGTAACTAAAATTGAAATAAATTAGGATTCAAATGTATTGATTATAATTTTATGGAGTTTTCTTACCTGTTGTGAGTAAATTACTTGGTTTGGTGATGAAAAATGAGGGGGAATTGAATGGGAACCAATTAAGTTTGTTGGAATTTACTTGAATGTCATGCTTTTGACCAAGGTCTATCCTATCCTCTTTTACTTGAACGATTACTTTAGCGCAAAATGATGGTAAAGTTGATTGGAAATCTTTCTATAAATTTAATTTAATTTATAACTTAATATATCATCAAAAATGAATTTTATTTCTTACCACTAGAAAACCTTTCCAAAGGTAATGATCGCATATCACATCAAATCCGGTTCCACGAACCACATAGTAACTACATTTTCCCATAAAATCAAACGCCTTTCCATCAAACGTTCTGTAATGAGGATCTCCAGAGCATTTTCCATCAACGTAACATTGTTTCTAAAAAAAATTATTTAAAATACTATCAAAAAAATAATCTTGCTTTTATACATTTGTGCAACTCCATTTTCCCATTTTACAAACACACGTATTACAATCTTGGGTGATTGATAATCCAGTATTATAAACGTTGTCGTTGTAAGTACAAGGACATTCTTCTTGAATGTAACATTTATCTCCGAATAAACGTAAACCATTAGGACAATAACATCCTTCCTCACAACTTAAATTAGTTGTATCGACTTCTTCTTCTCCACATGAAAGTTGGGCTTTATTTGGGGCGCAAGACAAAAATTCTTGTTCGGCGTTGTTACATCGAATCGCTTTAATAATTTAAGTAATAATAATTTAAATAAATAATTAAATATTAACTTACGGCATAAAGCATCACTTCTCCAAGATATACTTTCTTTAATATTATTTTGACAAGTTCTAGCAAAAGCATCCAACATTCCGCACATACAATCGTTGCGTTTTGCTAATTTGCAATCGCAAAAATCGGATATACAACTATCCATAAACAATCCAGAGTAAGCCTAAAATGATTATTTTTGAGATTATCGATTATGATATTTAAAAAATATATTTACTCCACATTTGGCGAAATTTTGATTGTTAAATAAATTCTTGCAATAATTTTGTGCTTGCAACTTTAATCGAGAATCTCCACCACAAGCGGCAGTTTCATCATATTTCTGAAGACATCGATCTAATACAAAATCAAGAAATATTATAAAGTAATAAATGCGTTTAATATTCACCATTAGGAGCATCACTGCAACACAGCCCTGCAATATTACCCTGGTTACCATCATTATTTACGATTGTTTCAATAGACTGTCCATCAAATCGTACAGTTACACCAGCATCTTTAATATTTACGATGTATTTTTGGCCAGGTTTTGAAACCGAAACTCCAAAAGATGAATGAGGGATTGTTTGTACCTTTTCATCTCTCATAAGCTCCATTCTAGCACCTTAAACATAAAAAAAAATAAGTTTTTTGTAAAATTCTTTTCTCTGAAATAAAAAAACCTGTAGCTTTTAATTGATAGATATGTAAACCATTTTTAATTGTTATAGTTGTTGGATCTAGATGAGTAATTTCGATGTTATTGGATTTATAAAGGGAATAACCACATGTTGTACTATAACTACATAAAACAATAAAAACATATTATTATTTATAATGTTTTCTATAAAGAATTAATTTACCCAAAGACCTTTCCATCAAACGTTTTTAAACGCAAATTATCGAAAACCACACAACTTGATGTTGCCTAATAAAAAATTTTTACAATTCAATTTTTGTTATAGTTAAGTAACACTTACGCCAAGATTTCCTAAACAATCAGCAAGGGTTTCTCTTGAACCCCCTACTACCACCAACATCAACAAGTACGTTAGAAGCATGATGATGAAGTGAAGAGAATGAAAAAGGTTGCGTTTATATACCTTTATTGTTCGAGATATTTAAAATAAAATATGCCCGCGGGGATTTCTTAATATTTTTTTAACTTATTTTAAGACCAGTAATGAATATTAGGTAATATTAAGGCTGATAAAAATTGAAAACAATTAATAATCATAAAAATAGACTAATTATCATGTTAAAAACTGGAATAAGTTTTAACAAATAATTAGTTCTTTCCTATATTTTAAAACCAATTAACCAATGTGGTTATCTTCTAGAAGGATTAGTTGTGATAATAACAAAATTAAAAATTTTGTCAAATAAAGTGGTCTTCAGAGCGACTTGAGATGGAGAACTTAACGGTAGGACTTTTTACTAGTTTGATCGGCTATTTTTGTCATATTCAGTGGGTCAATCAATTTGGTGGCGAAAAAATCGGTTACAAACAATTTTTACGTAGATGTGACCGGGTCTATGGACTTCCTTGTATCTGACTTTCTGATGGTATATAATGCATCTGAGTAGATAGAAGGAATTCGGAGAACATTCACAACCGCGAAGATTATGACAGCAATATTCACTATCTGTAGATATTTGAATACTTTCTGAACACATTTGGCCTTATTTAGACACTTTTGGACAATATTTGGACACTTTTAGACTACGTGTTGTTTCCATAATTTAATGAATGATGAAAATGATGTTTGGGAACAAACTTGCCTAGAGAAAATATGATAAATTCGCATAGTGGATGCAACATGGTATCCAAAAGGACACGTAGGTAGTTCTAGTGATAGTCCTAGTATTAGATAAAACATATTTTCGTTCAAAATTTTTATACTGGCCCATTTTCCAACAAAATCCAAGATGAGTGCTTCCACTTCCTTTTGATTTTTATTAGCAACCTTTCCATAACCCTTAGCCAGTTTTCTCTTAAATTAACAATCTTCTTGCATATGGTTATATGTAACAAAGGTGGTGTTTGAGATAGCTTCAAATTTTTAGTTTGAGAATTCAATGTCTCTTCTTGTTTGTGAACATTTGTGATTTGATTTGTACATTTACCTGCGTGCAAAATTCAATATTGCAAATTTGAAATGTTCCTATTCACTGGGTAGAATTACAAAACATATTTTCTTAAAAACCCTTTAACTACTTTTTGTTTTGTGTCCCATTCTTCTGCCCTAAACATATTATTGTACGTTAAAGGAGGTAAAAAAATAAAATAAGAATATAGGTCTAGTGTTAGATAAAACATATTTTCGTTCCAAATTTTTATACTGGCCCATTTTCCAATAAAATCCAAGATGAGTGCTTCCACTTCCGTTTGATTTTCATTAGCAACCTTTTCACAAACCTTAGCTAGTTTTCTCTTAAATCAACAAGCTTCTTGCATATGGTTATATGTAATAAAGGTGGTTTTTGAGATAGCTTCAAATTTTTAGTTTGAGAATTCAATGTCTCTTCTTGTTTGTGAACATTTGTGATTTGATTTGTACATTTATCTGCGTGCAAAATTCAATATTGCAAATTTGAAATGTTCCTATTCACTGGGTAGAATTACAAAACATATTTTCTTAAAAACCCTTTAACTACTTTTTGTTTTGTGTCCCATTCTTCTGCCCTAAACATATTATTGTACGTTAAAAGAGGTAAAAAAATAAAATAAGAATATAGGTCTAGTGTTAGATAAAACATATTTTCGTTCCAAATTTTTATACTGGCCCATTTTCCAACAAAATCCAAGATGAGTACCTCCACTTCCATTTGATTTTTATTAGCAACCTTTCCACAAACCTTAGCTAGTTTTCTCTTAAATTAACATGCTTCTTGCTTATGATATATAACAAAGGTAGTTTTTGAGGTAGCTTCAAATTTGTAGTTTGAGATTCTTGTTTGTCATTTGTGATTTCATTTCTACATTTATCTGCGTGCAAAAATTCAATATTGCAAATTTAAAATGTTCTTATTCACTGGATAGAATAACAAAACATATTTTCTTAAAAACCCTTTAACTACTTTTTGTTTGGTCTCCTATTCTGCCGCCCTAAACATATTATTATACATTAAGAGGTAAAAAAATAAAATAAGAATATAGATTTCTACAGTGGTTTTTATTATTTACTATAATAAATAAATGTAAAGTAAGAAAACCGAATTAATTAAAATTTACCTAAACTGCCAAACAATAAATAATTCGCAATAAATACCGTCACACTTTGTAATTATTTTAATTACAGAATAACATTCATAATTTTTTCTCTTCTGCTTCATTAAGAGCGCTGCTTTCAAAATCCCTAAAAAAAAATATAAATGAAATTTAACATTTTCTGTAATATACTCTAACTTTTACTTTAAAAAATTTAATAATTCTGGATCTCTACAAATATATTTGTGTCCATAACTTAGTTTTTTTGGAAATCCAATAAATTTTATGGTACCTTGACTGGGTTTACGATATTCCGAAGCTAATTGATACAACTAAAACGCAACAAAAATGAAGTAAATACAAAATTAAATAAGAAATATTACTTTATATCCCAATTTATAAGGTACCACTCTGTCATCTTCAGCGTGTAAAATTAAAATAGAACAGTCCACATTCATAATATGTCGATCACTGGCAAATGTAAAATTATTCACTTGCATTGGTTCAACAACTGTGTAATGAAACCAAGGTAGAGGTTTAAAAATCTGGAATTAACAATTTTATTAAGATACATATTTAATAATATTAACTCACTTGTGCTAAAGGATGTTCACTAATTTCTTCTCTCATACTAGTAAATGGACTTTCTAATATTAACCCAGAAGGAACAATACCTTCTTTACCTAATATTGCTATCATATGAGTAGATAACCCCGTACCTAACGAATGACCCCACACAAATATTTTCCCTGAGGTTTTATTCTTGAGCCATTTATACATAAAAATACAGTCCTTAACTAATCCCTTTTCGGTAGGGTTTACATCAGAAGAATCACCATATCCTCTATAATCATAAGCAATAACGTGAAAACGTTTCCTTAAAACTTTATACAACTCAATTCGATGAGACGCAACTCTATGTCCGGAATTGCCGTGATTATAAAGAATAACGTTATCGCCATTTCTTAAAGCACGCTCGTAAAATTCGGGATTTTCAAATTCACTGGTATCGTTTGCTACCCCATCAGAAAGAATCTGCCAAACTCCGAGCATCATATTGTCATCTGTTTGAAGATAAAAATTGCGAACACCTTGAATTTCGTATCTCGCTGGGTTCCCATAATCCGGATTTTTTGGGATACTTACTAACAATTTATTAATATTAGTAATTTTATGTTTCAAAAAATTTATGTAACAACTTACCAAAATTTAAAAAGACAACGCTTTGTTGAATTTTGTAAGAGAACTTGTAAACGAGGGGTAGTATCACAAATAGTAAAAAACATAGTAAACAACCAAGTTTGAATGATGCAAAGGCGATTCTGGAAACAAAATATAATAATAATAATGTGCTATTTAGGTTGAAATTGAAACAACTAACAATGATGAAGAGAATATGAAGAGAAGTGACATTATTAAACACAATCACACAGCTAATTATAAATTACAACTGTTAGCAAGATTTTTTTGTTAACAAAAAATGCATATCAAGCATTGTACAAGCGTCATGGTTTATGAGTGTTTTTATTACTTATCAATATATTAAAAGATTTATTACAAAAACAAATAACAAAGTATATATAAAAATTAAATCGTAATTTATTAAAAATTCTACCTTTTAATTAAATCGTATTTCTTCTTTGATTTTACAGATATATTTCCATCAATTCCTTCCTCAGTATCACAAAGATTATACACTGAATTAGTCGTTTTCATACTGAGAGGAATTACTAAAGTACTTGTAACACGGCGTTCATAACAATACGAATTAGATTTAAACTTCCTTAAATAAACAATTAAATTTTTACTCCCACCGAAATCAATAAAAACCGAAGTTTAATGAGTTAAATAGCATAACCATGTTTTTAAATCATTTATTAACTACCATTAAGGTTTATTTTGAGATGACGTTAAGATTGATGCAAAAACATTTTTTTTATTTAGCTGTACTTATCTTTTACGTAATTGAGAAAAATAAACAATCCTACCTGATCGAATTTTATAAAGATAAGACAATACTAAGCGTTTTTGAGTCTATTTTGATTTCATTTTTGACAAAAGTTTACCTTTAGGTTGTTAATCCACCACCGAAAATAATTAAATAAAATTTTTGAGGATTAAAAAATAAATAATGTATAAAAAATATACTTACACATCCGCTCTGTATAAAAGGTAGAGTATAGTTGGAATGATTGATGCATAAAGAGCGGTTATAATTGCATTGTCGGTAAAACTAGTTTGTTTCATAATGCTTGTTTAGGTTTGTACTTCTAAAAAATTAAAACAGCCAATTAATAACTACTTTAAATTTAAAATGTTTTTAAAAAATACCAAAAGCTACTCTAATCTTAACCACTGTGATACTAAACATTACAATACCTTAGAACTTGATAATGAATTATTGAAAAAGCAACAAAGTTCATTCAATGTAAATAAGCTGCTACGGGGTGACCAAGTTAAATAAATAAAATTAGTGTAATTACAATATATGAAGCAAATTATAAAAGTGACGTTTGTGTTTTAAAGAATTAATCAAAAAGCGATCTATGAAGTAAGTGTTAAGAAATGTGTTTCTCGCCAAACTGGTTTATTCTGGATCCTCATTTAGTTTTGGGATGATAAAATATTAATCACTGAGCCTAAGCTTAATTAAACAGAAGATTGACAGCTTCACTTGATAATCATGACAAGTTTTAAGTTGATATGATATTAATCACTAAACCTTAGCCTCAAGCAATCTTAATTAGTCAAAAGATTCACAACTTTGACAACTTAATCACCCTGTATATCAAGAATTATAAATTTGAATAATCTATTTTAAGCATCCAACATTTTATTTGTATAGATGGTATTTGTATTCAAATGTACATGATGTTAAATTTACAAACAATACATTCTTCATGTGAAGTTTTAAATTTAACTTTTAAATTATGTAACTTATGTAACTAAAAACACATTGCTATTTGTTTCTGTTAAATAAATCGAGATTGTAGCTTATGATTTATTACTTTCATAATTGTAAATGAGTACCTGTTCTAAAATACACACTATGATATAACAAATTTTTAAGTGCCAACATGCTTTTTAATTCACCCAAATACGTCATCTAATTGAAATGAAATGCTATTATAATTAATGAAACAACATATTTTGACCAGTTCCTTGAAATTAATTAATTACCACTAGAACGAAAAAACAAAGTTAATAGGATTAAACGTCAAAAAGAAGTTAACACCGTTCGTTTTAATAAGAAAATGATTCAAATGGAAAATGATTAGTTAAAAATGAAAAGCACATTCACCTTTTAATGAACCTCTTTTTCATCATCCAAAGCATAGCGATTCAAAAACGCGTACACAGCTGCAAAGAAAAAAAGAAGAAATAATTTCCATAAATTATAACCCAATTTAAAGCAAGAAATTATTAAAAGAATAAAAGTTATGTAACTACTCAACTAATTTTATGCAATATAAATTATTTGTACAAACCGATACCACATATCTAATAAGCGTAAATTATTAATAACAAGCAAAAAATATCATAAATTATTACAATTAACATGTTGAGGTTATGTTGGATTTTCTATCTTAACACACTTACCCACTTCGATTTTCGTTGTATATTCTTTCGATTTTGTATCGTTAATGATGCCCCCAGTATTCAATTTCTAACGTTAACTTAAATTCTTTCTCATTACGTATGTGAGAACAAACATTGACGACACCGATAAGTTTTAAACCAATTTATTGAACTGTCAACGTCAAACCCGTCAAACTCAAATGTAAAGAGGGACAGAGATGGATTGATATGAATTATTAATAATAAGTAAGTATTTATTTAAAATTAAATTGATTAATAAAAAATAATTATTAAGTTTATTTATTACATTAATAATTTATATTTTAGTTTATTTATGAAATATGTGAGTGCCATCTAGATGTGAAAGAATAAACTTTATGTTTCGATTTTGTTTGTGTAGATGGCAACATAGAATAATGTTTAAAATAAGTTTTTGTTGTTATTTAATTCTGATTTTATTAATATTATACAATCAAATCTATTTAAAGTAATATATTTAAATGATATGTTTATTTCATTAATTATTTTTTTAATAATTCGGCTTTCAGAAATTTTTAAATTAGTTTTTTTTTTGATAGTTTTAGGTTATACGAAAATGTAAGTTTTGTTTCAAAATTTATTTTCTTAATGTTATTCCAATCCAACCCAACAATTATTATACATCATTTTAAAGAGAAAGCTTTGAGCTTTAACTTAGAATAAGTCTCATTGCGTAATTTCAATAAATACGGCTTCCAGGAATTTTTAAATTAGTATCTTTTTTAACACTTTTAGGTTATACGAAAATGTAAGTTTTATTTCAACATTTTTTTTCTCAATATTTTTCCAATCCAACCCAACAATTATTATACATCATTTTAAAGAGAAAGCTTCGAGCTTTAATTTAGAACAAGTCTCATTCTTTAATTTCAATAAATACGGCTTCCAGGAATTTTTAAATTAGCATCTTTTTTGACACTTTTAGGTTATACGAAAATGTAAGTTTTATTTCAACATTTTTTTTCTCAATATTTTTCCAATCCAACCCAACAATTATTATACATCATTTTAAAGAGAAAGCTTTGAGCTTTAATTTAGAATAAGTCTCATTCCTTAATTTCAATAAATACGGCTTCCACGAATTTTTAAATTAGTATCTTTTTTGACACTTTTAGGTTATACGAAAATCTAAGTTTTATTTCAACATTATTTTTCTCAATATTTTTCCAATCCAACCCAACAATTATTATACATCATTTTAAAGAGAAAGCTTTGAGCTTCAATTTAGAATAAGTCTCATTTCAATAAATACGGCTTCCAGGAATTTTTGAATTTGCATCTTTTTTGACACTTATGTAGATTATGCGAAAATGTTAGTTTTTGCTCAATATGTTTTTTCTTAATATTCTATCAGATTTTCATCGTTATGTTAATACAGGTTTGATAAATAAATATTCAAATTTACTGTCTACTAAAATGTCGTAGCGCAAGTTCAAAAGAAAGAGGAAGTTGTGAAAATTGTTCTGCCAAAGCTAGAACCCACTCAAAATGTACTGCGTGCAATTTATTTATGTTGTAATGAATGAAAGAACTGTTTTTCTGAATGTCATAATGTGATTTAGATAAAGCAAGTGTTACTTATTTTCTAACATAGATACAAATAGTTTTTGTATACTGAAAATATATTAATGCTTGACGATACTCTCAAGTACCATTATCCCCCTGGAATGGGGGGATTGCATATTTTGCTAAAATTGATTCCAAAAGCCTCTACTGAATGTATTTTGATATCGTTTTAATTCTGTCATAAAGTTTCAAAATTTTTGACTTCTTGGGACACAAAGGATTAAACCCGAATATTTCTAATTCTTGTGATACTTTCTAACGCATGTATTAGAAGGTTAATGATTATTCGCAAAATGATTGCAATCAGATTTTTTTTTGTGGAGGAGAAAATCGTCCAATTATACGGTGAATGTTTATACATTTGGATTCGACATGGTCGAGTTATCTAGCGCGACTTTTCCGAGGGGCGATATATCGTTGCTGGTCGAATTAGGGCCACCGGGATCCAGCAAAACGGGAGCTTTCGTCTCGGCCGGAAGAACTCTCTCTGCTGGGAGGTGAAGAGGAGAGAAAAGCGTCCCCGTCGTTCTAGTACTGGGAAGACGGAGCGCTTGTCCTGGCGCAGTGTCTAAACCGGGAACGATTCAATTTCCCGGTCCCTTGGCCACCGGCGGCGGCGAGCTTCTCATTAAACGCTCCATTACGCCGCGAGAAACAAATTGCCCTAAATGCCTCACTTGAAAAATAGCTTTATGATAATATCGGTTTCTGATTCTGCCCTAGATACCCGCCCTGATCCAAGTCCTTATTGCTTCTTATCCAAGTCTGAACTGTCTCCGATTCGTTGACTTTCTTTTCTTCTAAATTGCTTTCTTGCCTCTTTTTGTAGAGCAACAATAAATTTATAACAATTTCATTAAATAACATTCTTATAAATGGTGGAGGTGCCGACTTATCATCCCACGAATACAATTTATTTTTGCATTCCTTGATCTGAACAATGACCTAAAAGTGTGAAGAAGTTAAACGTGAGCAATTTTCCGTATCATTTGTAGAAATTGCCGTGAGATTTAAACGGCCCCCGGCTACGATCTCGCTTCCGGTTGTCAAGTCCACCGGGGGCCGTTTGAAATACGGTCAGGAGAGCGTCGTTTATGCATCTGTAATGGCATCTCTTCCGTGGCGCGAAATGATGGAGCGCCCCGTTTTGTCGTCGGGAAAGCGTTCATTTTCCGGTCGGATTGTGGGACCGATAAAAAAAGAAAACTGGACGCCCCATCGACCATGAAAACGGGCCATGAAGACTAGTTTGTTACTTGCAGCGGACCATTTAACAGATAAACGGCGACGGACAGCGCCCCAGAAATTCATTCCTCCCTCCGTGGTAATCAGGGAAAAAATGCTAATCAACGCTAATTTTCCTTGATTGTGATTGCCGTCACTTTGGGTTTGCATTTAATTATCCCTGAACCACAATTTCGAGTTTGTGGTGGAAGTTGAACACAATTTGAGGTTATACAGCTTTTGTTAATTATAAGATCCAATTTAAAACGCAGAAATAAAAATGGTTGCAATAAATCAATGAGAAACATTTAAATAGCTTGAAACTATTTAAACAAACATTTTTCACTTAAACTAGAATTGACTAAAAATAACGAAAAGTTTACGTTCCTTTACGTTCATCCTGTCTAAGGGTGAAAAAGAGGTAGACGATTTAAGCGTCTCGGAAAAAGGAAAGAATCACGCGGGGGGGTTGGGTACCCCCACGGTCCATCCTTTTGAGACGATTAAAAGGGCACGAATCCATTCGCTTTTCCGACAGCCGACGGGGTATTATTGGCAGTGTTTTAAATTTGGAACCTAATCCAACTTAAAATGCCATTTCATAGATCCTGCTCCATCCTCCGTAAGTGCTACACTCGCCCGGGTTTTACGTAAAAGAATTTTAAATTCTTAAGTAGCGCCTCAAACTCTTCGTCTCACTTCCACAAACCATCCACACTCAGTTCATCTCACTTCAACCGGAAAAACACCAGACTTCTTAATTCCCACACTTCTTCCAACGCCACATATATATTTTCCTTGGGGGCATCTTACTTTACGTATTTATTTGCAAGATAATGTGTTTTTAGAATATATATAGCATGATTCAAGATGTTACTTTTTAGTAACATTCACAAGTTTTGAAACTTTGAATTAGACTTTCTCATCATCGGTTTATGAGATGTATTAGACTTAGTTTTATATCTTTGTTTGCTTAACAAATAAAAGGTCATAGAAATCTCGCAACAATAATTGCTGGCTATACATTGCCATTAAAATTTTGCTTTTCTAAACAACTCTTTAGACTCCAGAGGTGAGCAGGCGACAAAGTAGGCATTGCAACCCATAGCTTCTACCCATATACTAGATGAAAACCAGCCGCACAGTTTTAAGTCTACCGCCAGCAGTATCTCATACTCTGTCAGCAATATGTAGTTAACCTCAAGCAGTATCTAGTCTTCTGCCACCGGGATTTATTCTTCTGCCAGTGGTATTTAGCCTTCTGTAAGCTGTATTGAGTTTTCTGCTAACATTATTTAGTCTTCTATTGATAGTGTCCTCGTATTCTTATTCTATCTGTAGTATCTAGTCATTCATTAGCAATTTTTGGTCTACTAGTACTGGCCTAGTATTGTGCATGCAGTATCTAGTTTTCTATCTAGACATACCAATAAATCTGAAGAGGGCGAAAAACGAAGACAAATTTTATCCCAACAAAAGAGAACAACTTATGGCGAATAAAGTATAACTACAAAATTTTCGACAGAAACGAAGAGAGAGATTGATGAAAGGAATCAGGTTATTGCATGACAACCTCAAATCAGCCTGGCTTCAGAAATATAATTGGGAATTTGTTATTCATTCGCCCCATACCCCTAGCTGCTTCTAGTTTTCATTCATAAAAGGATGAAGTAAAGCAATTAGACTTTCTTATCATCACTTTATGAGATGTATTAGGCTTAGTTTTACATCTTTGTTTGCTTAACAAATAAAAGATCATAGAAATCTCGCAACAATAATTACTGGCTATACATTGCCATTAAAATTTTGCTTTTCTAAACGACTCTTTAGATTCCAGAGATAAGCAGGCGACAAAGTAGGCATTGCGTCAGTTATGGAGGAATATCTACACATCACAAACCCATAGCTTCTACTCAGATACTAAATGAAAATCTCGGGAACCAGCCACACAGTTTTAAATCTACCGCCTGTAGTATCTCATACTCTGTCAGCAATATGTAATCAACCTCAAGCAGTATCTAGCCTTCTGCCACCGGGATTTATTCTTCTGCCAGTGGTATTTAGTCTTCTGTAAGCTGTATTGAGTTTTCTGCTAACATTATTCAGTCTTCTATTGATAGTGTACTCGTATTCTTATTCTATCTGTAGTATCTAGTCATTCATTAGCAATTTTTGGTCTACTAGTACTGGCCTGGTATTGTGCATGCAGTATCTAGTTTTCTATTTAGACATACCAATAAATCTGAAGAGGGCGAAAAACGAAGACAAATTTTATCCCAACAAAAGAGAACAACTTATGGCGAATAAAGTATAACTACAAAATTTTCGACAGAAACGAAGAGAGAGATTGATGAAAGGA